TTTACAATTATTTAGTGTTCATATTTGTTTATGTTTTTTTTTTTTTTTTGGTTTTTTGTTTTTTTAATTGTTTTATATTTTTTTGACTTTATTTAAATATTTATATAATTTTATATTTTAATATGCTATATCTTTTCTTACCCCTATAATGGCTTCCACTCGCACCCATCTCAATGCCTTCCAAATGCTATAATTGAAGGCATTTAGGTTATCACTGACTACATCGCCTATCATAAAATCTATCTCTGCGCCGTACCGTGCTGAGTTCTGTTGAGTTCTGTTGTGTTCTGTTGTGTAGTGTTGTGTGTTGCGTTGTGTATTGTGCAGTGCCTTTAGGTACTCTTGACATTTTGTGCCAAAATGTTCAACTTTCGTTTATTTTTTGGGGCAATTTAATTTATAAACTTTGTTTATTTTCTGATTTAGTCAAAGTATTTGCTTTGTAAATAGATTCCGGGAAGTTTGTTTTCTTTATGGCGGCAAACATCAATAAGCGATGGCTGATGTTTATTAGATTTTAAACCTCATTAAAACTAACAATTTTGTTTACACTGATTTTTGTAATTAATTTTAAATTGTTTATTATTTTAACGATTTCAAGCCTATAAATATTTTGTAAATAAAAAGGTGTTAAGCATAAAAATCAAAAGCAATTCCTGGCTAATAGCGAAGAAAATCGTGCAAAAATCTAAATTTAAAACTGTTTATGCGTTAATTTTCGCGCGAAGAAATTTTGATAGCTCCCACGCCTACTTAGGCGTACTCATAGGGGCAGTAGCAGCAGAACGCGACGGTGAAATGGGGCGAAGAATGCTGTTTGAAAATTCTCAATTGATGATTTTATTAGAAAATATTTTAAGTTTACTTAATTAATATTAATATTGTGGAAAATATGCTTTGAGAGTAACATCATAGTTTCACAGTATCATTCACTTTTATGGAAGATAAATAATCTATTTTTTTATAGGGCACAAATAACATACTATGCTGGAGAGCAATAAATTTATTGCATTAAATGTATTAAGTTATTTATGGAATATAGGATCCGAAAAGAAACAATCGCATGGGTAATTGGGTTTCATATTCAATATTCAGCATTAAAGAGGTGTGTTTTTGAAGAAATATATTATATAACAGAAAAGTGTTATAATATTAATAATATAACTAAATTGCAGTTAAATAAAATTTTATAAAAAAGTTTTCGAAAACTAGTGAACTACAACAACAAAAACTATTATTATTTTTTTTATATTATTTTAATTAAAGAATTTTTGGCAGACCTGTATTCGTACTGTTGGGTTACAACATGATGACAGCCTATGTCTTTAAATGTATACCCTTACTTCATCTCAATAAATGAAGTGAGTTGATCACTTGTACACAGACCAAACTCATGTTGCCGAAACCGTAAGTCAGGGAAACAATAAAAGTGCTTAACTATCGGCGAAGCACCCTAAGCTGGCTGACCTCACTAATTACTGGACATGGCAACTTCAAGTATCACCTCAAAAAGATAACTCTTGCTGAGGAAGCCACTTGCAGACTATGTCTAGAAGAAAAGAAAACAGCGGTGCATATATTGTGCCAATGTCCAGCATTGGCAAGTAGCAGGAAGACTGTCTTGGGACACCATTGGGTTGGTGATGACTTGGCAGGTAACCTCAAGCTAAATGAGCTACTTGCATTAACAAGAGATGTAGTTATGCGAACGGAAGCCACTCCAGATTTAACTCAATAACAACATCAGAGAATAGAAGGACGAAAAAGGATCCAAGTAGTTTCGTGGTCTACTTTGGCTAATCCTTCACTTCAGTGGGGCCACTTGTTGGATGGTGCGTTGTTCCAACATCCCACCATAAGTACCATTAGACTTCTTTTTGTGAGGTCACGCAAAGCATTGAGCGTCAAATTTTACACACCTTGAAAATGAACATTCTTTAAAGTGTGGTTGAAGAATTGCAGTATTATCGTAAATTACCTCAAAAAGATTTAGTAAGCAAGATGTCTCATTTTAATGATGTTATGTTTATATCTAATGGCAAAGTTTGTTGAAATATATATGAAAATAAAAATTCAGTCTATATGTTGATCAAAAGTGTGTTTTATTTAAACGGAATCGGAAGAAACGGAAAATATCGAAATCGCGAAATCGATAGGTTCGCATTTAAGACCCCTTTTTTATTGTCCACATTATCTTTCTTAACAAAATATATATGTCTAGGAATATTTAGGTGTTGTATATATAAATAGATGGAAGAGTAATAAAAATATTTTCAAGTGAGTAAGAAAACTAAGATCATGTCCATAATAGAAACATCGGAATATTTTCATCAATTGTCAGAATAGGCCAAAATACAGGCCTGTTCTGGTCTGACGACAATCAAGACTTCTGTTATTTAATCATTATGATATGACGCTTAATATTTAAGCACGAAACTTCTATAAAATCGCAATGTAAATCAATACCTTCATAATATTAATATTTAAGCACGAAACTTCTATAAAATCGCAATGTAAATCAATACCTTCATAGGTGTTTTGTTGTAATATTTTGAATTCATAGTGATATGTGTGCTCTCAAATAATATTTAGTAATGAAATGTTTGTTCCAACCTACCGCATCATGAATTTTATGAATTTATGAAAATATGTATTGTATTTGTAGCAAAATGACAAACAAAAATATTTTCCGTAGCTAGGTCCAATCTACTAATTTCAAATGAAATATCGGAACAAAAATCGAAACTTTGCTATTTGCCATCAACCGATGGCCGAAGCCGATTTCATTATTTATTCCTGAATTCATTAGATGCCTTCGACTGGTTGAAAATTTAAAAAATATTTTATTAATTTATGAGTTTTATGTAAATTTTTTGACATTTATAGTTGTTGACTAAATACTGAACATGTAACAGACCCGGCATGCCATGCTCAGTGTTTAGTCAATTAATTAATTGATGTTTGTGCAGTAGTCGAGCTGCAGTGGCAAGCGGAAGTGGATGCATGGACGTATAAGTTGGGTAGTAGAGTAGGAGTGCTAGAAAGTCGCACTTAATCTCCATGTGGTTATTCTGCAACACTTAAAACAAGAATTGAGCTTCAGCATAGCAGATAGTGTAGTCAATAATGTAAATTCTTAACATTACTGCTCAGCACTGCAGTAATGTTGAACCTTTGATATTCGAATAGTAGGTTTTGTTGTTGGAGTCGAAAGTGCACTCTACTTCAGTGCACTGTTGCTTTACTTATCTAATGTGGTTGTTCAATTGATGTGAGCTGATGAAATCGAAATTTTGAATATATTTGGTATAAGTACTGTAATCTGTTTATGCCTTTACTTGTAGCAGCAGCAGCTGCAGTTACAAATACAGGGGGATTTATGGTATAAAATTCGAAATTAAATATCGTTGCTCACAAACTAACAAATTAAAAGAAATTTTAATGTACTCTACTCATTTTAAGGAAACACTTATATACAATCGGTACCGAGACGTCAGTACAAATTATAGTTATAAATATGGATTTATGTACTTAAAAATAAAATTATTTATATAAATAATAATTACATATATAATTCTATACATAAAATAGAATATATAAAACATGCAACAAATAATGCCACTCCAAACAGAATAATATCGTAATTTAACAATTAAAAATAAAAAGGTTTTTCGAACAGTAGTGAAACCACAACAACAAAAATTTATTTTATGTTATTTTAATTAATTGAATCTATGGCTGAACATACAGCTGTTTCGAGTATTGTCCATCATCACTGGTCTTGTAAATAATTCTTACATTTAAATAAATAAGAGACTAAGAGACTTTTTGAGACTGCAAGTACCAGCAATCGAACTCGAATCGAATTGAAAATACAAATGTATAATTAATCATTTCAATTATTTTACAGCTAGTTTATGATTTCGTTCTTATATAAACACAGCAAAATTAACAAAACTCCAGAAAAAGGTGCGAGCATATAAGTTAAGTACGGCTTTGGCTTAGTTGGCTAATGAAGCGCTGACTCTGAGCTTCAAATTTTGCAGGGCACGAGTTCAATCCGTAGTACTTGCAGTCTCAAAAAATTATTTACGAATAATTAAATACAAGAATTATTTCCAAGACCACTGATGATGGGTATTTGGCAATATTCGAAACAGCTATATGGTCAGCCAAAAGTTTAATTAATTGAAATAATATAAAAATAATTGTTGTGGTAGTAGTTCACTACTTTTGGAAAATCTCTTCATATATATAATTAATTGCAATTTTTTAGATGACTAATTTTTTAAACTAAATTTTGAAGTGTTCTTAAACAAATAGAAATGAAATTTGGTTATCAATTGAGTGATCGATTTGGGTGCTTTTAGTGCAAACTATGCTCTTGGTTCAATGTGCAAGAAAGTCACACGTTGAACGTACGCAATCTTCATTGATAAGACCCTTCTTTAGTACATCAACACTCTTAACCAATAATATCTCTGAGCTGGTTGAGTTGGTAGTAATAAACTGCATTAATGTCAATAAGTGCATCTTAATTTTAAACTTGTACCAATGAACATTAAACCAGAAAATACGGGCATAAAGTTCCATTAATCAGTACGCAATGGAAATGTATATAATTTTTGTGACGATATAGTGATATGGGTAAATTCTTTTCAGAATTAGTGCCATAAAGAGAATTAGTACAATAAGATAATGATTAGGATTATCGGTACTATTGCTTTCAGTATTTAAAAAAAATTTAAATAGAAGAATAAATTTGCTAGCATATCTGAAAAAAATTTTATATATAATATTTTATATTTAATTTTTTAATGATTCATTATTTAAAAGAACAAAAATTTTTTAAGAATAGCTAAACCCAAGGCACTAACCAATTCTAAGTTAGTATTTCAAAAAGCTCTTATGTAAATTAAAGGATGTACATTCTTTTGTAACACTTGTTGAATAATGTATTTAATTTACACTAATTAAATTTAATTACAGAAAATGCATTACATGAATTCTTCACAAAAGATTTTATGCAACAGAAAAAATTTGCAATAAAAATTTTGAATAGTTTTTAAGAAAAATTTTCGTAATTAGCGAAAGTTATTTTTCTCCAAATTTGATTTCGAAAAAGCGTCTTTATATTAAACAATGATGAGAAATCAGATATGGGAATCCCACCAAAAGTTGTAAAAGTAATGTTCAAAAATAAAATTAACGATGGACGTGATACGCTGGTCGTTTATACGTTGAAGGCGATACAGTTCTTCAAATCCATTGAACCTTTCCAAATCGAAGCTTGTTTCGTATATACATTTGCTCAACATATTCTCCAACACCTTTAACAGTATATATACTAGCTCGTTATCCTTCGACGATAATAAGTGACACAATTCTTCCATAATATGGTTCTGCTCAATTAGCAAAATCGTATCAGCTTCGCCACCATAACGTGTTACATTATATAGAACTCGAGCTGCAAGATGTTTAACCGGTACAATATATTGATTAAGTCCTTTCAGAATTTGTGGTATTAGACAGGTACCGACAATAGCTCCGACAACTCCATTGTTGAGAGAAGTTAAATTCAATAGAATGCAAAAGGAGTACTTGCGCATCTCTTTATGTGGATGCACCAGTAACTTATAAGCGTAGGCAATGGGGATGTGAAGCAACTCCGGATATACTTGAACATATTTATTAGCAGTAACTTTTGCAATAAGTTTTAACGCCTTGACTTTGACTACATTCGTTCTATGTGCGAAAAGTAGAATAACGTCACTCATTAAACCAATTTTGACTATTGTCAATAAAACACGTGGCTTGCTAAGAAAATTACCAACAATTTCTAGAATATACAGAGCCACCTCTTTGTCCACATAAATTAGCAATGATTTAAATAAGACTGCCATATTTTCATCCACTTCATTTGACACAGAAATATTATGCTCAGCGATAAAAAAAATTACATGAATTATTGTCTTCTGAAACTTCCTTGATTGATTAGATCTGACCAGGGGCATTAGTAACGTAACAAGTCGTTGATGGTTAACCATATAACTGACGAACTGTTTACCCTTCATTAGTGTTTTGCGCAAAGCTTGGCCAACGATGCCGTATATAATTCCCTCAACGTCATAAATATCGATAAATTCAATGGATGATTCATCATTAGTTTCCGAAGTACGCAGGGAAGAATTGAATATTTTGTTAGCCAACTTTAAAATTACAATTATACTTTCATTTTGAACGTCTGCGTTTTCATGTTGAAAGCATGTGTTCCATTGGTCCGTCATACAAAGATCCTTCAAAGCCTCACCTACGTTGTACTCCTCCAACTCTCTTCTTGACATTGATAGCAACTTTTTAATACCATCATTTAAATGGAACCCAACATAAAGTCGGGGATTAGCGAAGTAAGATAGTCCAGTGAATTGATCTTCAGTGGTAACGAATACTTCTTCATTTTCATGATCTTCGATGAACTAAAAGTATATATAATATTTGAGGAATGTTTTGAATGTATTAAGACTTACCTCAATCCAATCACGTTCTACGTTGTAGTGTTCCATTGCCATATATTTTAAATAAGTAAATGCCTTCAGTTGTAATTATTAAATCAGTAATAGTATTTGCGAATTTATATGAAATAGAACTCTTAATACTGCAGTTTTCTCTAGTTTTTTCGTTCCCTAAACTGAGAACATTTTTTATGAGATAAAATTTAAAACTGTTTTAAAAAAAATTTAATTTATGAAGTCAAAAATTTGACACTAAAATAGGAGTATGTGATTTAAATAAAACAGAATTTAGAGAAAGATCTTATGAAATGAGTTCTTCACTATTGCACGTATTGGGCAAGAAGTCCTTGACCTAGATGCTAAGGCAGCAAGGGTCCACTCACTATTTGCCTGTCGCAAAAATTGGTCATAGATCAACCTCCGATCGTAGCTGACAGGGACAGGGATCGAAATAGGGGTATGTGTGGAAGAGACAGCAAGTCTAGCAAGCTCGTCAGCGCGCTCATTTACCACAATATTAGAATGCCGTTCCCAGACTTGAGTTACCTTGGACCTCTCGCTTAGTATAATAATAACTTCCTATATTCTTGCACTAATCTGGATGACATACAGACTGCTGAAAAAGCTTTAATAGCTGCCTGACTGTCAGTTAGAATGTAGACCTCCTTTCCGTGAAAGCCCATATTTAAAGACCTACATAAATCTCCAAAGCTTATTGAATTTCATATTCATTATCATTGCTTTATACCAGTTAAAACCTCAACACGTATATCGGACCCGGTTTGCATTCTGTTCAATACTTAAATAATGCCATAATTACCATAATTAATTATTAAAAATATCAAGACAAAATTTAGTCGGCCTATGTTCAGTATTATCAGAAGAACCTTAAATTTGTTGTGCAGTTTAAATGTGGTTAGGAAAATGTTTGTACTTACTATTTCCTTCTTCAGCGATGAATGGTTTTAGAAGTCCAGTTATTCATATAACTTAAATGTAGGAAGTGATTTACTATATTTTTGTTCAGAATCACTTTTTTAAAATGTATTTAATTTTTTGAAATCATATTTTCAAACATCAAAAAAAATTTCCCAAAGTTTACTGACATTAGACAGTTTTAATAATAAACTATCTATCTGTGTTTATTCGGGAGAGATAATGCCTTTCCTTTTGTAAGCTTGTCTCAAAGGAAATAACTCTGCAACCCTGGACAAAATGGAGATTTTGTTCGGCTTATTTCGAAAATGGTTACCTTCATAAGTTGCGACTATTTTTTTGTTACTCTGAAAGAAAAAAACACAACTATTAGTATAATAGTTTGAAATAGATTTGAAACTAAAGATATACTGTCAAGTGGAAAATATTTCTCTAGTAAAATACATGGAAGTAGAATCTCATTTTAGGAAGATTTTAATAAATCGGTTAGTTAGTTAAGTCATTCTCTAAGACGTATTTAGTTAAGTTAGCATGAAGAAACGGCACGTCTGAATTCTGATTAATCACACAAGACTAATGCTGAAATGTGTTGGATATTTCAATTGCTAAATAGGTGTACTCATTATTTCCATTTTTTTCAAATTTCTTTTACGCTAATACCAATATGTCATAAAAACACTATCGTCTTCTAAGAAACATATAATTAAAACTAAACAAATATTGATTACTATAGGCTTACTCTTTTGACATGAATGTTCCATTAGAACACATGAAGAAGCCTACTTTCTTGAAACTGCTTAACGACTAAGCCCTACGTATTTCAATGATGCCAAATCTCAAAACTAATCTATTGTGAATGATTTTTGAAAGAAAATGGAAAACTCCAGTCAGACGACAGAAGAGTTTGTTCATTATTTAAAACTATTGAGAGTGTTAATGTGTAAATTTAAATATGACAGATTAGTAACTGGGAAGACATCATTCGATAATTATTAATTAGTGAAGTTTGAAAATTATATAAACAAATTTATTCACGATAATGTATTGTATGATAATGTATTTCTATTGGAACTTTCATGTGAAAAGAATACACCTTATATCAGTTTAGTTCGTACTGTCACATTGAGCACATAATTCAAGTATCGGAAATCATATCCTAACCATCGGTTTATTGGCTATCACATTGGTGGGGCTATACAATATCTTTAAAAATTTTTCCGATATTTATGGTCTGATCTTCCATTTATTCCAGATACCTCTGAGATGACTTGCATTTTGCGCAAAGCATAATGTGGCCTGCTTTGTAGATAATAGTCGTTAAAACAAGGAAGGAAATACTTTCATCCGATAATATAAAGGCGGAAGAAAAGAAATGATTTGTCGTAAGCTGATACATTGTCTGCAATTATTTAATTTAGTATCTTTAAATCTTAAAGTAGACATACTTACTTCACCGTGGCTATAAAAAAAATATATAAAAATTTGTTTATACATATTATATATAGTGTTATATACCTCAGACTAAAACTAATTTAATCACTTTTAATAAGTTAATTATTTGTTGATTATATTACTTATATTCTGTTTAAGCTAATTGAAAAAGCACCTGAAGTTCATCAAGAACATATGTTGCTTAATCGTATTTTACAGACATGAGCGGATTTAGTTTTAATATCTGTGGCATGTGTCGACTTACATACGGAAGAAAAAAAAAACAATCGGAACAGCTGTCCTGATTTACTTTCACTTACATATCATATATAAGAGTCGTATAAAAGGTAAGCTTTAAAATCTGTATGCTGAGATTTTGCAATATTGCATTGTAAACATGTGCTGTAGACTTGATGGTGAGCAATTATGGTATAAGACAATACTTTATGAGCTAGAATTGAATTGTCTTCAAATAGGAAGGGAAAGTCTTCGTGTGATTTTTGAGCTCGTGACATTGATAGTCTTCTTGAAAATTACTTTTTCAAGAGTACTTTTTTAATCGGACCAGACAAAAAGCATTCGGAAGTGCTGGGAAAAAATAGTTCTCAGCACTTTTTCAAGCGAAAATTTACGCAATATTCAAGTGCATACTTATAAATATTGAACGGAATTACCAGGGAAAAAATTCCGTTCAATCTGTCGCAATACCGACAGCGGTGATCAAAGCACTAAGCACTAAGCTCGCATCAGGTGACTTCAAGACTGGTGCAAGAATGCCTTGGTAAGCTAAAGTTGAGAAGTGGATCAAATCAAGTGTCGATTCTCTGGGTACCGGGACATATTGGCGTACGCGAGAATGAAAACGTAGACAAATTACTCAAGAAAGAAGCAGCCACTCTTATAATGTGTCCGAAAATTTTCTGTGGATTAGGCCATAGAACTACAACCAAAAGGATTACTAGATATATATACCAGGATTAACACAATCCACATCACTTATTGGTACCTATAACAATAAGAGATACCAGGATTTTATGAACCTATCAAAAGAAAAACTTAGAATCATCACAAGAATCCTAACAGGGCATTGTAAATAAAAATATAAAAATATAGATTCTGCGAAAGGAATAAGGAGTCAGACATACATGTACTATTGGAATGCCCTACGCTATACACAAACGGAATAGACACAAATTGAACAGGGCTTAGAGATTTTCTCTAAACCCAGAAGGGGACACAATAGAACCGACGGTCGCAGTGCCACATTCCATAGCAATAATAATAATAAATTTAGTCTGACTATGGTATATGATAGACGCATTAAAATTTCAAGGAAAACATTGCTTAGTCGACCGTCTTGCTTTGTTAAGATGAAGCACAACATTTTTTCTATCTTATACTGGAATTGTTTGTTGTTTTAGCTGTCAAAAACTTTCATTTTCTTTTGAAAGCAACAACAATAGACAGTCAAAATTACAAATATGACAACTTAAATTATGAATAAAACTTTCGTGTGAATCCGGTATTAGCTTGTATATTAGTTCGGTGTAATTTGATTAGTTGTTTTTTACACTGATTACATATATATATGTAATCAGTATATGTATATATATGTAGTATATATATAGTATACTTTAAATACCACATTTAACCATACATTTTAAAGGCGTGATGTATAATTATACTATGTATCATCTCCGCCCCTAACTTGCTCGATTCGCGTCTATAGGGGCTCATCCGCCTGAATTCACTTGCCTTCTCTCTCGCATATAAACTCTTTCAATACATGGTTTCGAAAAAAAAAATTGCTTAAAAAAAGAAAAATTTGAAGAAACCTACCGAAACCGTAAAACCGTAAATTAGTGGTCACCCAACGGGTTCGTTGATAATATGAACTACATTTTTTTCTCATTGAGACTTGTTGCACTTTGTCTTCACTTCAGTTAAAAAGTTATAAAAAAGAAACACAATCCATAAAATCGTGCTCTACATTATTGTCCAAGATGTTGTCTAGACAATGCTGCCACTTTTTTGAAAAGTGGCCTAAACCAAATTTTTTTTTTCATTTTAATTTTGTAAATATTTAAAATTTTTTATTTCTTTAAATTATTGTAAATTTATTATTCATTTTATATTGAATTAGTAGCCACTTTGCAAATACGCTCAGTGTACACTTAGCTCCCCGTACTCCGTTTTGAGGTTGCAAATGTGCAACCGTGCAACTGGTACAATGTTGCAGTGTTGCATAGAATGGTAGTGGCGGGGCAACCTTGAAAACGGGATTTTTTTTTGTTTTTGTTTTTAGTTGCTGAAAGATTACATAATTATTTTAAAAAATTGCCTACAAATTGGTATTGGGAATTTCAAGTTTTTTTTTCTTTAATTTTATTATTTATTTTTTTTTTTAATTTTGTTATTAATTTTTTTTTTTAATATTATTTATATTTTTTTTTTAATTTTGTTAATTTTGTTATTTATGTTTTTGTTTTTCATTCGTCTCATTATGAATTTTTTGCACATAAACGTAATAAATTTTATTATTCAATTAAATTGCAGGTTGCCAGTATCTATATCTCAACGTTCTCGGTTAATATTGATTGCCTGTAATATCAGTTTTCTTGACCGCAACAATGATTTGTTGATTTTTAGATAAAATATTTGAATTATTAAAAATGTACTTTGTTTATTATATACATCCATATTAGTGTTAGCCTAAAGTCATGTTCTCAATACATATAAACGCTACTTACGCACTTTTATAATTTAATGCTTTTTTATGTAAATTTAGTAATGTAATAAGAAA